CTAATTTGAATATCTTAATCCCTCCTGTGGAATCATAATTTCCCCGGTTGAATATCTGAATCCCTCCAGTGGCATGTAAATCACCCTGCGGAAAGTTTCAACTTGTAATTAGTGATTTTCCAAAACCTCTTCAGTGAACATTAAATTCCTCCGGTAACCGAGAGTGCACAAAAAGTTTTATCTAATCATACTTGGTTAGTTAGTTGAATTTACAACATCGTAAAAAAATTGTTTTAAATTCAAAATTATTGATTTTCCATCAATTGGTATTTGTTCATGTGCATCAATTATACACCACTTTATGTAAACATTATTATTCTAAAATTATTTTTTCAAAAATCTCGAGAAATTTTATCTAAAAACTATTTGAACTACAGAATCTAAGTTATAATTTAGTCTACTATTTTGTATTTTAATTAGTTAGAATTATTCTTAATATAAGAAAATTGAGTTAGAAATAAAATGAAATTCCCAAGAACAAAGTAGATTATAAACTGCAGTAATTATCTACATAATCTTATAATTTCATTATTTTAGTTTAAGCATTTGCAAACTTCAATTCGAAATTCATTTTACCAAAATTTAAAAAAAAAACTTCTATTTCATGAAACAAAATATTAATATAACGTGCATTAATGCCATTTTTTAGGTCATTGTCCTCAACTAATCTTTGTTAAATGACAACACTTTTTTACCGTAAAGTTTTCTTTTTGAACTGCAGGCACAAAGTTGACCCCATTGCTCGCCTGACAGCTGTACTCCACTTGATTATCTTGACGTGTAACCTGAACAAAAAGTTTAACTCTATAGCTTTAAAAACAAATCAAAAACACCAAGATCAAATCGATATAAAAAATGAATTGGAATCAGCCAAACTTACAAAATAAATTATTTAAAATCAAACTTAGATTTTCCCATTAAAAGAAAAACTCGAATTGATTTGAAAAATATCAATTAAAACAATTTTTGAAGTTGACATAAATACTTTTCTATGGGAGGTTTTTTTAAAATTTAATTGACATTTTTCGAACAGTTTTTATTCGTCTGTTTATAAAGACATGCATGGAAACCCAGCTTTGCCTTGATACAAAATTTTTCTCTAAAAGTCAACTTCTAAGAATTGTAAAACCAAACTAAGAGTTTAAGAAAAATCGGTGAAGGGGTTCACGAGTTATGGTTGGACAGACAAACAACCAGACAGACTTACACACAAGGTACTAATGCAAGGAAAGTTAATTGCGGTCGCGTATACTCTGCGTACATATTGAAACCAGTTCTCTCTGGGCGGAATTTGTAAACAAGAATAGATGCATCAGTGTTCGTTTAGTATCCGAGGAGGTTAAAAGCATTAAATTTTGATAATTTTGATAATTCACATAATATTTTCCTATGACCAGAATATTTCATTGATTTTTTATGTGAAAGATGGATCCATGTCAGGCTTCGACATCCGTCTTGTGTTTACATTAGCGCCCAGAGACAGTACACTGCAGTACAAAAGATGTGTACACTTCTGAAATAACTTTCCTTGCATTACATCCTTGCTTAAACAGAGATTACTACGTTATATCTCTGTTTGTAAGTTTGTATGTTTGTGTCGCTGATCATAACTTTACTCTCATTACTCCGCCAACCAAGGTACGAATTTCTGAATATCAGTCATGAACCATGAAGTTAAATTGAACTTTTAGTGCAATATGTAGCTGGGAGTTCTTCAGAGAAGTATTTCAAGTTGCCAATCAAATGCAACTACTTCTTAATGTTCAGTGTACATCAAATCCTATCATATGGTACATTGATGTTTTTACCTGTAGGGTTAGTTTAGAGCTAGTGTACAATCCGTCAATTCTTTTAAAGGTTTGATCTGGCAGTCTGGAACCTTCTTTTCGCCATTCCAACTCAGGCAAAGGACTTCCGTTCTATAATTATAATTATTATTTATTTTTTAACTTATGAAAAAGTAATAATTCCCAATCAAATTATTAGTTTTTAATCAATAAAGTTATGCAATGCCAATATGTTAACTTGCTTTACAATTATAATTTTAAATTTAATTGCCTCAACACTCTCCATTAAATACCTGAGATCTGCACTCTAATGAGAGAATATCCCCTTCACGCACTGTATGCCTAGGAAACCCTGTTATAACCGGTTTCTCAGGGGGTCCTGGATAAAAATAAATCTTGTTAAAACTGGTTTCCGGGGGGGGGGGGTATTATATAAAAAAAATCCTGTCATTACATACTCCAAATTTAATGAAATTGAGCCTTGTCTTAAATCCGCCAAAAACCGGTTTAAATTGAGCGCCGGCCTAAATCTTGAAACATTGAATACAATTTTAAGTGGAACCAACCAAGGTAATACATAATAATGCAAGGAAAGTTAATTGCAGTTGCGTATACTCTGCGTACATATTGAAACCAGTTCTCTCTGGGCGGAATTTGTAAACAAGAATCGATGCAACAGTGTTCATTTAGTATCCGAGAAGGTTAAAGCATCAAGTTTTGATAATTTTGATAATTCACATAATATTTTCCTATGACCAGAATATTTCATTGATTTTTTATGTGAAAGATGAATCCCATGTCTGGCTTAGACATACGTCTTGTGTTTAAATTACCCCCAAGAGACCTGAGATGAAATTTAAAGAATTTTAGCCGCGGCTTAAATTTAAACCGCCGCTCAAATTCTTTAAATTCGGCCACTGGAACCAACCATATTTGAGTCGTGTCTCAATTTAAAGCCGCGGCTCAAATTCTTTAAATTCGGCCTCCAGTTTCTTTAGAAAAAACACCAAGCTAAAAATATAACCCCAAAAATGGAAGATTTAGTTTTTAAACAGAATTTCAATAAATTACCACTTACTTTTTATCTTAATTTCTTTTGACGCTTTTTTCTCTCTTCCTGCTGCCCTGGCAGCACAAGATACCTTCATAAATGTTTTCATAAGTGACCTTCACACACAAATTTATGAAATTTTGTCAATTACTTTGAAAACATTCTAAAAACAAATGCTTTAAAGTTTTAACATGTAATGAAGAGCTACAAAATTCATGGTTTGCTATATCTAGTTTCAAAGATATAAAGCTTGAAATTAAGAGGATTAAGAGTAATTTACTCAATTGTGTATCAAAATAAAAAAAATGTGTTATCAGCTTTTTACCTCAATTTTATCATCAGTCCTTCCTCCAAAAACATCTTTGAAACTGATGGTTCTATACCCACCCTCGCCAGATGGTTCCTATATATAAAAACAGATCTTTATCTTTATCTACAGAAACTGATCACTCGCATCAAACTTTAATTTCCTAATCTCTATATCTCTGCACCCTAATGATTTAAACCTTTGATATTTCAAATTTTACATTGATTTTTGAAATATGAAAGGCCCACAACTAATTTCAGATTCAAAGACCTAATGATTAGAAAATAAGATTTGTATGCGAGTCATCAGTGCTTTGAGAAGGAATTGCCACAGTATTTTTCTAAAACATTTATTCTTGCAACCAAATGGTGTAAATGTGGAACTAACATCTACTTTTTTACTCTACAGAGGTTTGGTCCATCACCATCACCGAATTTTAAATCATATGGTATTTTAATTTAAGATATCGGCTTGCAAATATACTGGGATCAGAATATATGAGTTTATGGCAAAGACTCAATGCTTTTTTGTTATATATCTACATTACACAAATCTAATTAAATACACATATACATCTACATTACACAGATCTACATTACACCATTATACAGGGTTTTATTTAAGAACCAAAGGACACTAAATATTTCGGTCAAAACACTCAATATTTCAGAATCAATGAGCCAGAAGTAGTTGAATTGTGTAGAGACAGCTGAACCACGTTTCCCCACAATGTTGAAGAGAAGTGGTTCAACTGGAGAATCGATTGAACCAAGTTCAACAGAAAAATCCAAGAAAGGAATTGAGTCTTAGAATCACACACTCTAATTTTCTAATCCCTATAGCTTTGCCACAAATTCTGATTTTCTACTCATTATATCTTTGGAATGTAACCAAATGACCTAGACGGTTAGACTTTGGATATTTCAATTTTTTTTGAGATATAGATCAAATAACATAAGATTGAAAGGTGCACTAATTTAAATATACTTACTCATAATAGCACCACCCAGATGAGGAGTGCACATTCTGACCAGTGCTAAAGCAGAGTAGCTCTGGACCCTCTCAATTCGGATCCGAGAGGGACCAGAGCTACTCTGCTTAGCACTGGTCTGGATGTGCACTCTCTCATCTGACTGGTGCTATTATGAGTAAGTATATTTAAAACAGGGTGTACACTGTACACCGTCAGATTGCAAAGAACGATGAAAAATGTCAAACTTAAAAGCAGCAGTTAAATGCTAATATTGTTTCTAGAATGTAAATTACGCGTAGAGTCTACATATCAGGTCGTATGTGCATAAATACCCATAAAAGCTTTTAAAAAATTAGGTTTTCTGTGAATTTATGTAAAACAAAAATATATTAATTCATTTTGAAGCAAACTTGGTTTTTAAATTGCTTTGTTACTCTTTAAAAAGATGACAATTTAAACTTTTAATGCTATTTTAGGATTTTCTAAATAATAAGTTATGTATATTAATGCGCCATTTTCTGCATTAAGGAGAACAGTCAAAACATTATTTTGTTGGTTTTTTAATATAATGATAAAATCTGTTACATTAAACTAATTTTCTTTTGAAATAAGCACATTTAATTTCATTTTAATGAAAAAGAATCGAAACAATTTTCTCAGATATTTTCTGAACCTGGGCTATGTCAAGCAAAAACACTGTCAAATTGTTCAAAATTTCGAAGAAAAAAAAATGTTTTTTATCTTAAAGACCTTATGCTACTTCGATAACAAAATATTAGCTATATGGGATAGGAAAAATCTATTTTTAAACAATAACAATCTTTAACATTCAGCGTTTATTTTTTTGAACAATTTCTTTACCAAAAACATTTTACAAAATTTGTTTATATTTCGTTTTTTATAACATTGATTTAATTCAAACAATATTTATTCTTACCGAGCAAGTCAACTGAATGGATTTTCCAAGCTCAACAAAGTCTGGACCCTCGAGCAGAACTACATCAGTGCTAACTAGAACAAAATAAAATCTTATGTGTCATCATTTAACATTTATCAAACTTACCAAACATATCTCGAAATTACAAACATTACGTTTGAAATTATGAACAAGATTTTATATATTTATAAAAGTCTGATCGTAATTTCTAACAAAACTTTCAAAAAGGTTTTATTTCTTGAAACTTTTTAGGACAAAACATTTCTATTATTTTATGTAAAGGAAGTGATCTCAATCTTTTTTTGGTATTTTTTATCCTTGCAATCTAGAAGTATAGTAGACCTTTGATATTCCAAACTGTTATGAAGATCCAATATTAGAAGTCGGAAATATCAAATGGTTCATCCCATTAGGTTGCAAAGATTTAGGCATAGGTCAATTTAATTCTAAGGCTCCGCTTGATGAGCAATTTCATTTTCTAGAAATTTTATTTTTACTCAAGCAATTTTTTCTTTTTATGCTAATTATAACTAAATAATTCACATGGATTATTTTTTAATGATATTCTTTTCTCAGATTAAAAGTTTATTTATGAACCAAGTTGTATACTTCTTGTTTACTCTAGTTAAGAATTTAAATGTTTTGACAAAGAAAGCTTTGCTATTCCAGAGTAAACAAACCTTTAACTTCAGGAATAACAAGTTCTTGCAATTTGTATCTCAATTTTGTAAAAACCTATCTATATGCATGTAAAATATCTAGTACTGATAACAAATATATTATTGATCATATAGTTCTTTTGGCAAGATCGGTGTGAATTTGAAATATTTTAAGTTTTAAGTTAGGAATAATTAAAGCCATTTTAATTTGTTAAATCGTTAATAAGGGTGTCATATATTTGTAACTTGAACTTGATGCTTCAAACTTCAATTATTTAATCTAACAGAGCTAATAGTTTAAAATGTCTAAGATCTACGACATTGGGTTATACATATATATATACACATATATACATATGACTTGCTGAAGTGCCCGGCGTTGCCTGTGGACTTCTAGAAACACAAAAACAAATAAAAATCTATTTTTGTGGCCTATGTTACCCCAAGGGTGGTTTTCTCAAAAAAATCAGCCAATTCAGTCAAGCTGTTAGGCCAGCTACAAGCTACAGCTAACATATATACAAATGTAAATATATATAAGTAAAGAGAATTATTATAAAGATATTAAATATGCATATGATATGCCATAGAGAATAGAAAATCAAAGTTCTTGACAAAAACTCATTTCCTTTGGAAACCCTGAATACAATGAAAAAAACTTACATGAAATATTAAGGTAGATAGGAATACTGGGTAGACTGATTTGTGTAATATTATTCCAAGCATGACAGGTGTAGGTTGACCCATGCTCGGCACTGGTAGCTCGTAGTTCAAGGTTAGAGTAGGTACCATCATCCTGAATATAAACTCAAGATAATCCCTGATTCACAGCAGTTTATTTAAAACCTTTATCTGATCAGTCATTTGACAAGTAATGTCGTTCTCTGACAAGTTACTTCGTTGTTTTTATACCAGAAATACGCAAGTCACTTATTTGACCTTTGGACTTTTGAAATTATCTGATTTTTTTTAAGTATAGTTTTTTCTATCTAAAAATCTCAAAAGTTTCGTTTTTTGTACCAATCAAAAACGAAACGAGAACAGAGTCGATGAACGATAGTTTTTCTTTCGTTTATAAAAAAAACGATGCCCAAGAGTAAGAGGGGAGGGGGAATACACCGTTTATAATTGAACGTTTCAGATGATGTCAGTAATGCTGCATAGACACAGCACATTTTTTTATGTCTGATTTCTTTTATACATTGTTCAGAATTCCAATCTGTTTGCTTTTGATTGACACATTGCCACCAAAAATATGTTTGGATGTTTATTCTAAAAATGTTTACAAAAGCAAAAAATGCGTGAGCAAAAGAATGTTTAAAAATGTGGTTAAATAACAAATGAAAACATGGTATTACCAAAATTACAAAAAAATTCTAAATTATTAACAGAATGTGAAGGATATCTTACAAATATTAGTGTCCCTTAAATTTAGTTTATTGTTCATAATTTTAGGAAGAAATGATAATATTACTTTAGATATAGTTTTATATTTCAAGTTAGAGGTTCTTTTAAGAGCGTAAAGATAGACAATTCACGAAAGAAAAAAGCAGAGTCTAAAACTAAAGAATGCGCGAATTTTAAGTTCGAGGTTAAAAGTTCTGTAAAATAATGAATAGCTACTTAAATATTAAACTTTCTCAATTTTAAATTTGAATTTCCCGGGAAAATCTGAACCAATCAGAGAAAAGGATTTACGGAGAATATTACATAACCATCGCTAATCAGCTGATT